GAATGGGCTGGAGTCTCTAAAACTTCTAGCTTTCTGCAGGAGGTGTTGGGCAACTTAAGACTAAGTGGGAAACTACCAAACTTGATAGAAAGTATGGTTTTAAAGTCCTGCTGTGAAAGCAGGAAGGGAACCAAACAAACTTTTGTCTAGATGTTCCTTACAGGTTCAGTGTTTTTCCTCCCTCTTCAGCACCAGAAGGGAAGCAGGCTGGGGATGGAGGTTGTGCCTTGCCAGAGAGATGGAGTCCACCCACAAGTCACCATTCAAGGTCTAACCATGCCTCAGAGTCCTTCACCTTTTTTCCTTGTTTGCAATTATTTGGCTGTAAAATTTATTACTTTGAGATCTTTCTAATGACTCACATATTTTAATATAGTTTTGTGTAATAAAAGGAAACGCTAGGAGCAGCAAGCCAGAAGAAGCAAGTTGCCAGGATTGCTGAGACTAAGAGTGAATTATCACAGGTTTTCCTAGGGACCTTCTTCCATTGATATTTAGGGAAAAATAGTGGTTGTTCTCAGAGAAAACTGCAGCTTCCTGGGGCTGATCTGTCATTAGAGTTAACTTGCCTCTTGCAGAGCTCATTGCTGGATGGGGAGGCTGCGATTTGTTAGTTTTATTTAAACTTGAATGTTACTATCTTTGGATTTTGTGAACGCTTTTTTCCCACATTTTGCCTTTAGGGATGCCTCTTCATCCTAACGCTTGGCTGCGCAATATAGATGTGTTTCTGATGGTGTTTGTACAGCAGTGGCTAAGGCCTGTAAAATACAGTGCCTGTAATTAGGCTCCCACAGAGTGAGCACCCAGTATCTCCTGCTGAAGTCAATAACCTCTCAGACAGATGCATAAGCAGGGAATTAAGCAGCCATTTTGAGAAAAAATCTTGGTCTGCTGTTTTAATCAAGTCGTATTTAATGCTGGGCTGAGAAGTGCTCAGAGATAAAGCTTTGGCTGTGCATTTTGTCTCGTGGTGTGTGCGGGACCTCGCGTTCCCTGCAGCAGGACTCCCTGGGCACTAAGCGCGCTACATGGTTGGGATCCCCAGCAGCACCTCTACTATTTCTTCCACAGTAATCCAATTTCTCACAGTGATCTTGCTTCTTTGCAGAACATATCTGGCAGGCTATTTCCTGTGAAACATGATGCTGCTGTTCTTTGGGGTTGGATGAGCTGCGGTAATTCACCTTCTGTGGAAGCCCAGTTTCTCTGGCTACCCTTATCCTCAGTAAACATGTTCTGAGATTCTGGCTGATAAAACATCTGTTTTCTAAGCTTCTTTTGCTGCACTCTGCTGTGAAATCAGCTTCCGTTTCAGAACATTAATCATATCCCTACTCCTTCACGTATATTCTGATAGAGCAGGGTGCGCTAGCATAGGATTTCTGGCTACGTGGGGACTTCTCTCTCTGAAGGGACTCTAGGATCTCTGGAATTTTTTTCCAAGCACAATCAGCAGCCAGACTTGAGGTAAATGGTGCATTTGCAGCACTCTTTTCCTTCCCCCAGGTTTAAGCAATGCCTCAGCTCATCCAGGTTTTCCCGGGATGTACTTATAGGGACAGATTTCCAGGTGGTATAAACAAGCATAACTCATTCAGGAGAATTACACCCTCTCAGGGGTGCTTTCAGTTTCTTTGCTGAATGCTTTCTACTTTTCAATACACATTCTTCTGTTTCACTGATCACTTTCTTATCACTGATGTCTTTTCCTTAACACTGCTTTTACTCACGCCAATCATATCATCATTCCTACAGTGGTATTTCTTGTACTTAAGTACATACTGTCATATTTTGCACTAACAGAACAATGGTTCCAGAATTTAAAAAGAATTAATTATATCACACAAATAAAAAGTAGAAGACTGAAAGACAATAACGTGGCATTTTTTGGCCATTTGGTTTCAGCTATTCTAGGTAAGCTTCCTTCTTAATGCTGTGAGTCTGAATGTCATTGCTGTTGGAAAGGACTCAAAATGCAGCATTACTACAGCTGAGTTGGGAAGCCCTGATTTTTCACCAGGAAAGGATCCTGATACCCCTCCTCTTTGTTTGCATTCCTCCCTACTCTTTTGCACCATTGCAATCCAGATGTTAGCTCAGTCCTGCAGCCTTGCATTTTGATACTCAATGAAATCTTATTTCCCATTGAAGGGGTATAGAACTGGACACTGATGATGATAAGAATATTTCTGATGTGCTTGCTAAAAATAAAAAAGGCTGATTCTTTCAGTAAAATCTGCAATTAGTCTTGTTACAGCTCAGCTGTGTGGTTCTGGTAGGAAGAAAAGGGAACTACTAAGTTTGGACTAATTTGTCTTATGTCCTCAGGACCACTTTGTCCTTGAGTTATTGTCACAATGTTCTTTGTGTTCAGTTTCCCACTATTTGGAAAAAAAATCTTTTCTGTCAACAATACGCTGACAGATGCTCTTTGCAGTGCACTGACTAATCTTTGAGGTTCTGGCTTTCTTGAGGAATGCCCTTTGGTTTTAATCATTTCTATTTGTTATCTTCTGTTTTCAACTTCCTAAGAGGGTGCTGTTGATTTTTATGTGCACCTTCTTTTTGTTCTATTAACACTTCTCATTGCATTGGAAATTAAATAGGGAGGATTTGAATATCTCAGATAATTTCATCTTCTTATTTTGTTTCCATTCTATCTGCAGACTGGACACAGTCCTAACATTTCTCTGCCTGTGTCATGTTCACATTAAGAACTGCAGACACGTGGATGTTATCCTCTGCTGTTATGCTTTCTGTAGGTTGTGTTAACGCTACAAAGGGATTTCTGAACACTTCTGCTTTTCAGTGCAGTAGGCAAACATGGATTTCAAGCACTGTTGCTTAGTTCTTCTCTCATAAGGAGCAGTAAGCTGGGGGTGCAGCTAGGAAAACGTTTAACTCTTTCCTGGTAGCAAATATTACGGAATCATAGAATCAGAATCATAGAACCAGAATCATAGAATAAAACAATCTAGGTTGGAAAAAACCTTCAAGATCATCAAGTACAACCGTCAACCTGACCTACTGACTCCCAACACCAAATCAAGTGCCTTAGTGCCAAGAGTGCCTTAGTGCTTATATCACAGTCATCTGCATTTTGACACAGCCTTTCCTCTAAGCCTTCCAAATGACTTTTCAAATGGTGAGCAAAGCTATAAACAGTCCTGTGAAGTCACATCATTTTTTTCTGTTATCACTACAAGCTGTGCCTATATTTGTAGTGGTTTATTTGTATTTCCTACTTGGGTACTTTTGGGAAAGGGAAAGCTTGTATTCTTTTATACCTGTTGGGGGATTTGTGTTCCCAGAACAATGCTATAAACCCATTTTTTTCCATCTATTTACAATGTCTTATGACTCTGGAATAAGGTACAGATCTATAACATTGCATAAACATATACATTTATTTTAAGATCTGCCATAAGCCTAGGTTTAAGAGTCATCCGGAACTGGGATCTTAAGAAAGTCAGATTTGGAAAGGCTCTGAACTGTAATCAGATCTGGTATGGATTCTTTGCTCTCAACAGCCTCCTGTGACCCCCATTATATTAAATCATTTTCTGAGGGATGAGAGAACGGCTGGTACATGCCTTTGCTATTTGAGAAGGATTACTATTGCTAAGTCAGTCATGGACTTTTGTTTGCTCTTTCATTAAAAATGTTGCACCTCTCTCTATAAATCAAGTTTGGAGGTTATCTGAATCTCTGCTGGAGTTCTCCCTGGAGGGGTTATATATTGGCTAAAATTGATATTAAATATCTTTGTACCAATTTATCATAATCACTGTTAGCTATTCTGGCTTTGTTCCCACTCATAAAAAATACGACTGGCTGACTTTATCATCAGATGAGCTGAGAAACTCCTGAAAGCTGGTAAAAATGCAACAAACACTTTGCCAAGTATTGCCTCAGCCACAGGATTGTCTCTAGTTCAGAGGGGAAAATGGTACAATTACTACATAGACTGACAGCTGGCAAAGCACTGGCTTTCAGTGGAACTGACTAACGTCTCCAATAGAGGTATTGAATTTATGTTGATAGCAAAGGCTGACTTGAACCTACATTTAAGCCTAAGTATTACTTTGCATTTTCATACGTACTGCAATTACTGATTTTAATAGGAAATTACGTTGGAACTTCAAACAGAACATTGGAAATTGGATGTTCTAGGATAAGGAAGTTAAGGAATGATCATTTACAAAAACAAAAAACAAGCCTTTTGCTGAGATATTTAAGGCTGAGTTTTGGATATCGTAGAACTTATGTAAATATATGAATGTCATGCTGTATTTTAGAGTAAGATCTGTAAGACTTGATTTCCATTCAAAAAGATTTTTTTTTTTTTTTTGTCTTTGAATGATCTTTGGGTAATTTATTTTTATTTCTTGTCATCTCATTAAGATCTTATATTATCTAAGTAACTCACAGTTTGAAATATTTGAAGTCCCAGAAAAGTCCCAGAAACAAAATGTGAGAAGAATGGATCTTGCTTTCTGACCATGTTGAGAAATCTCCTTTTCTATTCAGAGTTAACTTCTACATGATCAACTGTGTATACTGTCAGAGATAATACTGTGGGTGGGGTTATCAAGGAAGTACATTCTTTTTAATGCTTTGAGTTTAGATCTGAGCTGCTGTGATTCAAAATGTTCAGAGAAGTACCAATAGAGGAAAGAAAAGACAGCTTACAGGCAAATCAGCAACTCCCAGCACACTCAGAGATGTCCCCTAAAGAGTTCAAAGTGCTTCCTCCAATGCACATCTTCTAAGCCATTGCCTGTGTCAGGAGGGCAGCTGAGGACAGTGAAGTACATATATAGGGTCTTGAGCCAAGAAAGCACTTAAATGTGAATAAGTCCACCTGTACTTAGGTAAGTACTTAAGTCCATACTTAATGTGCCCCAGCACATGACGATATATCAATCTGCTACTTAACACCAAAGCAAATTTATATAGGTGCATGCAAATAGAAAAATGTAAAGATGAAAACCCACCATATTCAGGGACCTGGCCTGTTCCGCGTTTCAACAACAGTCGCACTCTCCTGCCACCAGACTTGATTAGCTCTATTGCTCTGGCATGTGTCATGTCCCTTGTGCTTTCTCCATTGATTTCAATTATTTGATCTCCTACCTGTCAGGTAAGAAGAACATCGAGTCAGACAGAATTGCAGGAAAATGAGCATTTCAGAAAGAGACATATTCAATGGATCACAGATTACTGGAATGACAGACAGACACATCAAGGCAAATTTGTTCCTGTCTGTCTGAGGGATATCACTGGCAGATTAAATAACCTCTGAGATGGATTCTGAATGGGGCGTATCAAATGCTGCTCATCTTCTGCTGAAATCAGTGTAACGTGCTTATAACCTCTATTGTGCCTTGTATACGTAAGAGTTTTTTTGAACCACTTGATATGTTGGAATCACTGGAAACATGCTACCCATGCTACACTTCAGCTTGAAGTGTTGTGCTGGCCTGAGAAGACTGTTGCTGCATGTAACTGGCTGCTTTCATAGAGAAAAGAGAGGGTCAGGGTGCAAATACTGAGATCTGCCATTGGACTATCCAAATCTTGGTAGCAAAGTTTCACACCAGGTTTAGAATTATCATGAAGCAAGCTAGGAAAGAAGGAAAGGTAAGCTGCTGTGGCTGCCACTGCACAGACCATGCACATCTTCTGGATTCTCAGGAAGATGTTTTGAACTATTTACCTACAGGTGGTTTTTGCTGGGATGTCCATTCAGAGCAGCAGTCCTCACAGCTCTGATTACAGATTTCTGCCACTGATTTCCCCACTGCATTGCAGCCAGTTAGCCTCATTGGTACTTCTCTGCCTCTATTTCTCTGGCTGCGAAGCAGGGCCCTGATGCCTGTGTCACCCCAATCTCCTTCCCTGCCTTGTCTCCTGCTGGGATGTTCTGCCTCTGCTCTGCTCAGTGAGAAGAGCTGACTTTGGATGCTAGAAATCCCTCACTAAATAGGGGAGCACTTGCTTTCCATGGTCATGCACAGTAGGCAGCAGCACATGGAGCAAGCAGCAGCTGTACAGCTTGCTTGGTACTGCAGCACCATGGCCACACACTTGTTTTGTGTGATGGTTCAGTGAGCAGCACGGTGAGGTGACGCCAGCCCAGCATTCGCAGCACCACAGCCTTTGGAAGGAAGGTTTTGCAGCTGCACTGAGGATGCCTCCAAGCCCTGTTGACTCGTGTGAAGATCCCAGTGGTGGCAAAAGTGTTGGTCCAGGTGACGTGCATCCAAGAGCTGCTCGAGGGTCTCAGATGGGTGGGCTCAGGAAACTCATTTATCAGTGTCACGAGAGCACATCTGCTCGGTGGGATCACACCTGCCTTGGTCTGCATCTACAGCCTCCTCACTGTGGGGAGCTGAGCAAATCCAACTCACTAAAATAGCGATGCTGCACGCATCTGAGAGAGGGTTTTAAAGAGGCTATACAGTTTTCAAGATGATGGGTACTTCCCTTTCCTCTTACAAGCCTCTCCTAACAAAACCAGCTCTTTGCTGGCCTTGGACATTGAAATGTTTTCTGTTTTATATGCTTTCTTTGCTACTATTGTATTTCTGTCAACTGAAAGCATAATCCTCCAGAGGCTTTCCTTCCTTCCCGAGTCTGAAATATACTATTTACCAAATAAATGTGCATAATATGAGATGTCAACAAGACTCCTAGCATCAAAGAAAACTGGAAGGGATGTCAAGAAGTCATCTAGTCCCTACTTTTGTTCAGAAAAGATGTTACTAAAAGCACTATGGCAGTTTCTCTATAAGAATTCATACCTTGTCAATAGGAGTTGCAGCCTATTTTAAGAACTCTCCCAGGATACTGTACGCAATCTCTTTCAGTACTTTATTTAACTAAAAAGTCATTGATCCGAATAAAACCTCTGAGCCTTGCTATCGTGCTCTTTATTTTCTGTAGGCTGAGCAGTGGAGGAAAAAAGTCAGGATTATTTAGTGTCAAAAGGCCTTATTTTTGCAGCGCAAATTTCTTTCTTAGAGGATTGTCTCCTTTAGGAGGAATGGACATGGATGTAGCATGCAGTACAGATTTTTAGACACTTCTGATGATATCCAGGCCAATGTGACATGCAGCAGAGGTACTCTTTGGATCATGCAGTGATCTCCACTGGGTTTGGCCATGCAGGTCTGTTTCGTGTCACCCTGACTTTTGCAGTGCTGGTAGGATGTAGCTGCACACACACAAAACAAAACCAGAAAATCCGTCTTGCCACTTCTGCAGCACAAACATGAAAGATGGATTTATTGTACTCTCCCTACAAGGATGTTAGTAAGGCCAAACACAGACAAAATTCCACCAGTTTGGGAAAACCTGCTTCTAAATGTCGTGAAACAATTAAATCCTCATAGAAATCCTGTAAAAGTCAAGTCAGATTTTGCAGAGGCTTAAATATAGCTCCTTTTTGTGCCATGTTGCCTGGATATACCATGTTTTGCAGAAGGTATTTAAAATGATCTTGTTAACATGTTTTGAGAGAAGAAGTGCCAGATTAGATCAAATGAAGGAGGTGTTTTTAACACTCCTTGATATATAGCCTTTAAAATGAGTAATGATGAAAGCTGTTCAGTGCACGCACAGTCCTTCAAATAAAATCTTCTACACTCCTGAGCAGAAAGACAGGAGGAGATTTTAATACAGTTTAATATGTAAAAAGGTTAAGTTAATGCCATATTTTCCCTTGCTGTTTGCCTTTATTCTGTTCTCATTGGTCAATATACAGGAACTATCTTGTATTAGTGTAACCTTTTCTGTATTTCAGTATTTTTTTTTCTCTATAGTCAGCAAGTAGCTGATTTGATAATTCCCTCTTTTTAATATAAAATCATATGTTCAAATAACGTTGGAAAACTTAAAAAAAATATATATATTAAAGCCTAGCATTCCGGTTATGTGACTGAAGGAGGGGAGAGAAACAAGTATGCAAAAATTAGGTACTCTGAAATTTCCATTACAAGATTTGAGACCAGAGTGAAAATAAATAGTGGCAGGAGCCGTGGGTTATTTGTTTTCCATGCATTTGTGTCTTGTGGCTGACTGATGTATAAATGAAACATGCCGCCTGTGCAGCACAAACCCAGGTCTGATTAGATATGGAAAACAACACAGAAGAGAAATGTTATGAATGCTCTTGCCCTTAGAAAAGCTTCAATTAGACTTCCCCCTATCTAGGGAATTCTTACAAAAGAGAAAACCTTGACTGAGAACTGGTTTCCCCTGTGTCTAATAAGGTATGGGTTCTTATTCTGTATTATTTATTTATTTTTTACTTTTTTTTCCAGTTAACATTTAAAACCTGCTTGCCTTCCCCCAGCCCTGTGATGTTTGATACAGGAGGCTGTCTCTCTCTCTACTTAGGTGGCTATTTTCAGAAAGCAAAACCTTGTCTTAAAGCAAAAGCTTCTTGTGTGACTCTTGACAGATACTGCTAGTGTAGATCATTCACTGGAGAGAGGGAAAGACATGGAATTTTGTGCTGAGGCTATTTCTGCCTGTTTAAAACCCAGTAATTGTTGAAGAGGAGCTCAGGTATACCCGCATATTGAAGTTACTCTCTTTTCAGGATCAGAGGTTGGTTCCTGCAGTTTTATGCCACACATGACCTTTTCTTGGTAATTCTCTTCTGGGTACTTCCAAGTCTGTACACAGTCTCAAAACTGTAGATAATATTAAGCTAGGGGGTAAGCAAAACTGATCAAAATGATAAAAATCTTCCCATGTGGGAGAAACAATCTTGTTAATAATGCTCCCAGAATAAGATTTTTGCATGTTTGTCGCACATCAAATCTGTGACTCATGATTAGCCTGGACTCTTTACTCTGAGGGTGGTGAGGCACTGGAACAGGTTGCTGAGAGAAGCTATGGATGCTCCATCCTTGGAGGTGTTCAAGGCCAGGCTGGATGGGACTTTGGGAAACCTGGTCTGGTGGGAGGAGTCCTTGCCCATGGCAGGGGGTTAGAACTGGGTGATCTTTAAGGTCCCCTCCAACACAAACCATTCTGTGATTCTGTGATTCTATGATTCCAAGACTTCCCTGCAGTCTTATCTAGACAGTTACCCCCTATTTTAAACTGCACATCTAATTTTGCTACCCTTAAAGAAACACAGTGCACTTCAGTGAATTTTATCATATTGAGTGCTTCAGTATGAAAAGTTCATTTTGAAATCTAAGTCAGTTCCTCAAAGCCTTCTAAGACTTCTAATAACCTCTTGGCATTAAGAAATGTTACTATTTACCAATAACTCTCTAGTTATTGATGAAATTATTGAATTGAGCTGGTTTCATCGCAGACCCTTCAGAACCACACTTGTAATTTCACACTTGTAATCCTCCTTCAGGAACAAAGCATTCAGAACATCCTTTGAGAGTCATTATTTCCCCATCCTGACTGTGAATTTCCTACAAGGTGCTTTTGAAAGGTGAAAAGAAGATGCCTCATACCTTCTCTATCCCACTGTTGCACAAAGAAATAAAAATGAAAATAAAAAAGAAAACTAGACTGATATGACAAGGTTTGTTTTTCACAACTTATGTGTTATTTTTTTCAACTTTTTGATAACTTGCCACAGATTATTTCTGGGAATGAAAGTTAAAGGAATTTTAGTCTGCTAATGTATTTTAAAAGTAAGGGATATGTTTGCTTTTCTCTAGTCTGCTACCAACTTTCTTGTCCTCCATGAGTTCTTGGAGATTGTTACTAATAGTCTAGAAATTACCTTCTCTAAATCACTGAGCATACGTGAAAATCAACAACTTCAGCTGACTTGAATCTTAAAATTCTTTAAGCAGTTTTCTCCTTAATCTTATCTCAACTCATTTCTTTTTGTTGAAATTGGTGTACTGTTCAGAAAATTGTCCTTCTGAATAACTCAATGAAGATTGATAGAAAGAAAGCACTGAATATTTCAGCCTCCTCCACATTCTCAGTGAGTGATGGACCTATACTTTCCTTCTCTTCATATTTATTTTAATATATTTATGTTACCTTGTTACCTTTTATACTTTTCTTGCAGACTGCCTATATATCATTCTGACACATTTAATCTTCCTTATGCATCTAATGGGACACCAGCCACCTAACAGGTGTTG